TAGGTATGAATATCGGTAGTATTTCCCAATTGGTGTATTTATGGTTCCGTATATGAGCGAATATCTCCACTCAGATTCCGGCCTCATATCCCTATGTAGGCATCACAAGCTCCCACAGGTATTACAGTCTTACGCCACCAACTAGAAACGCGTACTCTGGTTATATCGTATATTTATTCCATATGGTCAATCGTTACGGAATCAAAACAAGTTAGTACATCTCCAGAATATGGTTCTAAAATATATAAAACAAAATAGGGAAACTATAATATTCGAAGTAAATCAAACAATTCTTATCATAAAATGTACAGTAAATTAAATATACATTTCTCTTAAAATGTGCAGAAAGTCGAGCGATACAACCAATAAATATACGGCAAATAAAATATGTAACAATAAATAACAATGCTAACTGAAATATTTGTCAACCATCTTGACGAGCCAAAGCACACATTGCATACCATGTGCTCTATTAAACGTGCAGCTGACCACATGTACGCAATGTGTTTGGGCACAAAAATGGGTGGCAAATAGTATAAATAACAAAACAATTTTCAAGAAATAAGTCTTAACGAATACTAACATTTACAGACTTGCAATAATAACCCAAAGTAAGAGTGATAAAATCGAGTTCATACGAGTACTCAAACTTGTAACAAATCACTGCCAATAATTTCATACTGATGAAGCCAACAATGAAAAGAAAACCTTCCTTACCTCGTTTAGTGGCACCTTCCCGGACCGGTGTACAAATGTTAGCAAACCTAGCAAGTTTCAGAAAACCCAATGCGGCAGGGCAATTCAGAGCAGACACAGAGACGTCTTCACTCTTCAGAAGCACATGCTGAACTGAAGACAATAGCCTGCCTAGCCCAGAGTTCACCACAGGTCAAACAGGTGAAACAAAGGAATCTAACTATGTAATCAATAACCAATCAGAGGGGAGGTTTGCACAACTTACACACCGCCCCCGAAAGGCGCACGTCACGAGGAGCCTTTCTAAATTTAAAGTTGCAGAACCGACAACTAAATGAATCATGTACATGAAAAGAAAAATCATTGTTCTGTTCAACAAAAGTTCATTGTTTTATTTTCTTCTTGTGCTGTAGGCTTTTACTACGACGTGGCATCGAATGATCACATCCATCTACTTGTTCATGTATTTCCTTGGTGTCTTCTGCACCGATCTCTGCTGCTCTAGTAGAGTTGGCAAGTACTCACGTACCCACCGTTTCCAAAACTCAGTTGCAAAATGTTGAGTTTCGGTTCTTCTTCTGTGATGACCATTTTCTTCTATGATTTCACTCACCGACGTACAAGGATTTAGGCGTAGCAAAAGTAAATGGTTTGGTGTGAGTGGTTCAAGATCATCTGGATCATCAGATAAATGTGTCAGTGGTCGATTATTAAGAATCTTCTCCACTTCTGTTGTGAAAGTGAGTAGCGTTTCATCATCCACTAACCTGTTCCCTAATAAAGATCGAAGAATCTTTCTTATCGAACGAATCATTCGTTCCCAGACTCCACCTGCATGACTTGCTGCTGGTGGATTAAAATGCCATTGAATATTTCTTCTGCTAAGTTTACCGTTAATAAAAGCTTGGTTCCATTTAGCAAGCATCTGTTTCAGCTCAGTCTCGGCTCCCCGGAAATTGGTACCATTATCACTGTAGAGATGTGTAGGTGGTCCACGCCGACTAATAAATCTCCACACAGATTGTATAAAGGAATCTGTGGATAAATCATGGGCCACTTCGATATGAACAGCCCGAATGGCCAGGCAGGTGAACACGCATCCATATCGTTTAATGGTACCTCTTCTGTACTTAACATACAGTGGTCCAAAATAATCTATCCCGACATGGGAGAATGGTGGCTCACCTGGTGTCACTCTAGCTGCAGGAAGTGGAGCCATTTTTTGATTCCCGGGTTGTGCATTCCATCGACGACACTTAATACACCTACCAATCACACGCTTTACAGTAGCTAGTCCATGAACAATCCAGAACTTCTGTCGTATCTCTGACAACACTTGGTTTGGGCCAATATGTCCTTGTTGTTCATGGTAATGTTGAACGATCAACTCAGTCACATGATGATTGCGAGGTAATATAATTGGATGTCTAGCTTGCTGACTAATGGGTGCGTTCACTAGTCGTCCTCCGACGTGTAGGACTCCATTTTTTAATTTAGGGTTTAACTTTCGCAGTGGACTGACATAACCTTCAGCATCAGGTTTCTCACTCAGAATCTTTTGCGGTGAAGCAAACTCTCTTGGAAATGAACTTCGTTGGACAATTCTGCAAATGTCAGTGGTAGCAATGGAAAGTTCATGAACTGTTAACGGGCCTATTTTCAATAAGGCAGATCTTCTCAAGTACATCTTAAACCGGATGAGCCATGCAACACTCACTTGTAATTTATACCAAGAGGAGTTATTGATGGAGCAAACGACTCCAAACATCTGTACCCATTGTATTGCACTGGGTAATGGTTGTTGCTTGGACCTTCCTTCTCAGCTCTTTGTCGTCACGATCAATTTCTGGTAGGTCAGTAGGTTGGCCTGGCCATTCTGATTCAGGTTGCCATAGAAATGCTGCACCATGGAACCATGTGGTTATTGCTGCCTCATTAGAACCATTAAATTTTATTCCTCGTGATGCATGGTCTGCTGGATTGAACTCTGAACTGACGTGGTACCATTGTGATGGAGATGAAGCATCGTGAATAATCTGGAGGCGGTTAGAGACAAAGGTTTGGAATCGTGTTGCCATGTTGCGAATATATTGGATGACTATTGTTGAATCTGTCCAAAATAGGGTTCTCTGGATTGGGAGTTGAATTTCATCTTGAATTTGTCTGCTGACCTTAACTGCAACTGTAGCTGCTGTTAGTTCAAGCCTCGGTACTGTCATGGCTTTGAGCGGAGCGACCCTGGACTTTCCCATCAGCAAACTGCAATGAATTGTACCATTTGTATCTATCAGCCGCAGGTAAGATGCAACCCCATAACCTCCTAAGGAGGCATCAGAGAAATTATGGAGTTCCACTGTTTGTATTTGACTGAAACCAGTTGGTTTGTAGCATCTAGGTATAGCTAGTGTCATCAAAGTAGGTAGTTTTTTCCTCCATTCTCTCCAATTCGACAGTTGATCTTCTGGTACCTTTTCATCCCATCCATATCCAACACGACATAATTCTTGTAAGATTCGTTTTGCCGGTAAAACAAAGGGGGCAGCGAATCCAAGTGGGTCGTAGACTGAAGCCACGAATGATAACATCTCCCTGCGTGTCTCTTCTTTCAGTCTGTCGCCAATTCTGAAGTTAAAGGCATCCTTTTCAACATCCCATTGGATGCCAAGAGCTCTGTCAATCGGCAAGTTCTCCATATCTAGATTCATCACTGAAGAAGCACGCTCAGCTTCTGGGATCAGTGCTAAGATTTCCCGACAGTTGGATATCCATTTTGTTAGATGAAAACCTCCTTTAGCTAACATTTCAGGCAACAGTTTCACCAGTTCCTTGGCTTCTTCAACACTAGCAACAGACTTCAGACAATCATCGACGTAGAAGTTTCTATAAACAGTATCCACAATATGAGTGTCATAATTACTTCTGTTGTCATCTGCAGTTCTCTTCAGAGCATATGCTGCACAGCTTGGTGAAGATGTGGCACCAAATGGATGCACCAACATTTGATGATCGGCTGGATCTTTAGATAAATCTCCTTCCGGCCACCATAAGAATCTTAGTGCATCGCAGTCCGCCTTCTTCACCTTAACTTGATGGAACATTTGCTTGATGTCAGCGACAATGGCAACTGGCTCTTTTCGAAATTGGAGAAGTACTCCCACAAGGGTATTATTTAGATCAGGACCTTGCAGAAGCTGATCATTAAGAGATGTGCCTTGGTATTTGGCAGCGCAGTCAAAAACAACTCTCACCTTCTCTGGTTTATTCGAGTGGATTACTGGATGATGAGGTAAATACCAAGTAGAACCAGACTTCGTTGTTGATGAATCCACATTTGGGCATTCTTCTTGCATGACCCTGGGAGATGTAACCATCCAATGCGTCTTTATATTTCTTCATAAGTGCAGGATCTTTTAATAGACGCCTCTTCAGTAGCTTCAACCTCTTTAGAGCAGACCATTTGTTGTTGGGTAAGCAGGGATCATCATATCGCCAAGGAAGAGCCAGCTGGTAGTGACCTCAATCAGACAAACTGAACTGTCCATGATCGCCTTTGCTCTTCTATCTTCCAGCGACATACATGCCTTGGTATCAAACAAGGACTCTGAAATCTGCATTGTACATGCGATGAAGCTGAGAAGTTATAGGTTCGAGACACTGAATTGGGGAATCAGAGTCCAAGACTTGGTCAACATTAATAAAATTGATGCTGTTACCTCCACGCTTCTTTCTGCCCATTGGTCCAATGAATGTCCAACCAAGTAGTGTTCGAATACCATATGGTTGCTTCCTTTCACCACGACGCTCCTCAAGAACCCAATGTGCCTCGGGGACATCGTTCCCAATGAGGAGAGTAACGTCTTTAACTTCTATCTCTGGCAATTCTATATCATTCAGGTGAGACCATCCTTTTATATCCAACTTGGTCGGAATACTGTCAGCTGCTATCGGTAATCTATCCGTTGTCCAAACTTTATCCAGTCGCACACCATTGACCAAATTTAGACCTCTTACATCCATCTGTAATTCATGACCATTTATCTGCCTCTCTGCATTCAGTGTGGACAATGTATAATTGACATGTTTACCTGTAATACCTAATTTATCAGCAAGGCTGTAAAGGCAGATAGACGAATCAGAACCACTGTCGAGAAATGCATAGGTTTCAATCTCTTGGCCTCCATCTACCCCACTGACACGAACAGGAATCACCTGCAAACTTATGCGTGGTTGATTGGTTTGTGTAGCACTACATTGCGCCTTGCTTCCAATGACATTACTATGTCTCTCATTTTGAGCTGTGGCGGGAGCTTTCAGATTACTGTTGCTGAATGTCTTGGGAGTTGCAGATGTTTGATATGCTGAGTCTGATGTTGCAGGATGAAGCAAAGGATGATGTCTTTTACCACAGCCTACGATAGGGCAAATACGACCACTTCTACAATTCCTAGCCAAGTGAGGAGGTCTTGCTTCTAGGCAACAGTCACAGAGCCTGTGTTCCCTGATGAAGTCTTTTCTCTCTTGGAACGGTTTGAACGTAAATTTTCGACAATGTTCAAATGCATGGCTACCACTGCAAAACAGACAACTCTCTGCATAGCTCGATCATGGAAGTATCATCAGCACAACATATGAGGCAAACTGGAAGGAAGATTTATGGGAGGCGTGTCAGCTACATGTGTAGCCAATGTAGTAGCTTTACTTCGCTTTGTCTTGATCTGGCATTGAATCTTTTCTCCATCAGGCTTAGATCCTACCAATTTACCAAATCTTGTATTTGCAATTGCTGATCTGTTCTCCAGAAAGTGGGTAAGGTGCAGGAATACAGGTTCAGTGCCCACACTGATCAACTTGCCAGCTTGCTTGGCCCAATCTGATTGCAAGTATGATGGTAACCGCCTAACCCACCTTTTACAGGGTATCTATTGAATTGATGTTAGCATGGAAATTCATTTGCTCAGAACTGAGGTGGCAATTCTTCATATCACGAGCTAATTTCTGCAGCTTATCTATTTCATATGCCTTTATCTGAGGTCCTTTCACCACTTTGTCAATTGTAGCATGCACTATGACGTGTTTCTGACCAAAGCTTGTAGAAAGGATCTTCCGGGCTTCTGTATATCCTCGCTCTGGAGGGAGAATTACACAGCTTCTGATTGCTTCCTTAGCTGCACCAGTGCAGTGTTGGATAAGATATGATAGTTTGACATTATCATCCTTGACTAATTGTTCTATGTTCACCTCATAGTTTTTGATAAAGGTTGGATATGCGACCGGGTCACCATCGAAGGTATGAAACTCGTGTTTTGGTAGACTCAAGTTAATGGCTAATGCTTTGGTAGTCTCCAGCTGATTCTGCACAATGCATTCCATTGTCTTATGTTGACTTTCTAACAGTTTCTGTAATTGGAACGTTTCAGAGAGAACAGCACCATCACTTGGCTTTTTCGTGGTCATCTGCTTCCCTTTAGGCCCTCCTCTATCATCACGATATTGTTCGTTGGTACCATGTGCATTATCATCGAAGTTTGTATGTTGTGGACTTGACTCCCCTGTAGTCCTGAATTGACTATTGGCTGGACTAGACGACGGTATATACGATTGGAAATAATTGCTTATCATTTCTTGTTGGGTTTGCCTCTGCAAACCAGTGAGTATATCAGACTTCTGGTCAGATTCAATTTCTTCATCTATAAAGTCTACTTCCACCTTAGCTTACCTTACCCGATTTTGAGCTTGCATAATTTCCATTTCTGCTTCCTGCTGCTCCCTCTCTTGACGCATCTGAAGCCACCGTTTTTCTGTTTCTTCTCGAAGCTGCAAATCTGTTATGCGTTGCTTTATCTGTTTTTCAACTTTGAGTTGGTCCAACTCACAACGGGCTAAAGCGAGTTTCCTCCTTGCTTCCCTAGACACACGACTTGTCTTTGTATTGGAGTTAGAACCTATTCTACCATCCTCAGTATCCACATCCAAGAATTCTTTCTTGCCAGTATCCCATGGATTTGTCTTGTTTTCTTGTGGGAGTTGAGGCCAAGATGAAGTGTGAAAATCTACCGAGGCATTTGGCTCTGTGGTTAGAGTTGGCATGTGGACTTTCCTTTCTAAGAGAAATCCATGTTCCAATGCGTCTTCCATTTGGTCGTCAATCCTTTCCTTTGGGCCAGGAGACTCCATTGTTTGGAATACCCATTCTCTGTGTCTCTGATCAAAATACTCCTTTCTTTCAAGCTCAACCTCGTATTCACTTTCGACAGCACCTCTTGCCATTGGAGGTAGACACTGCATATATTCACGACAAGTTTTTTTATACGAGTTGAATATTTTCTCAAGAGCACATCTTTTCTTGCTTACTTCATGGTATGCTGCCTTTGTGGACATCATACTGTCTATCTCAGTGTAGACTCTGGTAAGATGACCGCCATATGAAGCCGTTGATTTCTTCAAACGATGCATCTTATCAAGTTGCATACTGGCTCGGTCCAGGTCGAATAACGTGTCCCTATTTTGCGAATATCCTTGATTCAGACTCATTTCCCTGTCTTGCATGGGTTTATGATCTTGGATATGACATTCACAGCACGATATTCACTTGACTGACCGCAGTATTACCAGTATGTACAAGGTATGAAGGCAACACAAAATTATGATCTTCAGCGAAGGTTAAACGAGAACTATGTAGGCATCACAAGCTCCCACAGGTATTACAGTCTTACGCCACCAACTAGAAACGCGTACTCTGGTTATATCGTATATTTATTCCATATGGTCAATCGTTACGGAATCAAAACAAGTTAATACATCTCCAGAATATGGTTCTAAAATATACAAAACAAAATAGGGAAACTATAATAGTCGAAGTAAATCAAACAATTCTTATCATAAAATGTACAGTAAATTAAATATACATTTCTCTTAAAATGTGCAGGAAGTCGAGCGATACAACCAATAAATATACGGCAAATAAAATATGTAACAATAAATAACAATGCTAACTGAAATATTTGTCAACCATTTTGACGAGCCAAAGCACACATTGCACACCATGTGCTCTATTAAACGTGCAGCTGACCACATGTACGCAATGTGTTTGGGCACAAAAAATGGGTGGCAAATAGTATGAATAACAAAACAATTTTCAAGAAATAAGTCTTAACAAATACTAGCGAATACTAACATTTACAGACTTGCAATAATAACCCAAAGTAAGAGTGATAAAATAGAGTTCATACGAGTACTCAAACTTGTAACAAATCACTGCCAATAATTTCATGCTGATGAAGCCAACAATGAAAAGAAAACCTTCCTTACCTCGTTTAGTGGCACCTTCCCGGACCGGTGTACAAATGTTAGCAAACCTAGCAAGTTTCAGAAAACCCAATGCGGCAGGGCAATTCAGAGCAGACACAGAGACGTCTTCACTCTTCAGAAGCACATGCTGAACTGAAGACAATAGCCTGCCTAGCCCAGAGTTCACCACAGGTCAAACAGGTGAAACAAAAGAATCTAACTATGTAATCAATAACCAATCAGAGGGGAGGTTTGCACAACTTACACACCGCCCCCGAAAGGCGCACGTCACGAGGAGCCTTTCTAAATTTAAAGTGGCAGAACCGACAACTAAATGAATCATGTACATGAAAAGAAAAAATCATTGTTCTGTTCAACAAAAGTTCATTGTTCTATTTTCTTCTTGTGATGTAGGCTTTTACTACGACGTGGCATCGAATGATCACATCCATCTACTTGTTCATGTATTTCCTTGGTGTCTTCTGCACCGATCTCTGCTGCTCTAGTTACTCCATCTTGTCTTTCCATCACAGTCTTGTGATCCATGTTGCCTTCCAATAAACAGAGCTTGCGCACATCTCTCCGTAAACATCCAGTGGAAGTCTTCACAAGAACATGACGAGTTGTACCAAATCGATCAGCAAAGGTCTGTTCGACTTTTCCCAAAGGCCATTCACCTCGAGGAATATTTTCATTGACAACAAGTACCAAATCACCAATGGATAGGTTCCTTTTCGGCCTGCACCATTTCTGCCTTTCTTGTAGAGTTGGCAAGTACTCACGTACCCACCGTTTCCAAAACTCAGTTGCAAGATGTTGAGTTTCGGTTCTTCTTCTGTGATGACCATTTTCTTCTATGATTTCACTCACCGACGTACAAGGATTTGGGCGTAGCAAAAGTAAATGGTTTGGTGTGAGTGGTTCAAGATCATCTGGATCATCAGATAAATGTGTTAGTGGTCGATTATTAAGAATCTTCTCCACTTCTGTAGTGAAAGTGAGTAGCGTTTCATCATCCACTAACCTGTTCCCTAATAAAGATCGAAGAATCTTTCTTATCGAACGAATCATCCGTTCCCAGACTCCACCTGCATGACTTGCTGCTGGTGGATTAAAATGCCATTGAATATTTCTTCTGCTAAGTTTACCGTTAATAAAAGCTTGGTTCCATTTATCAAGCATCTGTTTCAGCTCAGTCTCGGCTCCCCGGAAATTGGTACCATTATCACTGTAGAGATGTGTAGGTGGTCCACGCCGACTAATAAATCTCCACACAGATTGTATAAAGGAATCTGTGGATAAATCATGGGCCACTTCGATATGAACAGCCCGAATGGCCAGGCAGGTGAACACGCATCCATATCGTTTAATGGTACCTCTTCTGTACTTAACATACAGTGGTCCAAAATAATCTATCCCGACATGGGAGAATGGTGGCTCACCTGGTGTCACTCTAGCTGCAGGAAGTGGAGCCATTTTTTGATTCCCGGGTTGTGCATTCCATCGACGACACTTAATATACCTACCAATCACACGCTTTACAGTAGCTAGTCCATGAACAATCCAGAACTTCTGTCGTATCTCTGATAACACTTGGTTTGGGCCAACATGTCCTTGTTGTTCATGGTAATGTTGAACGATCAACTCAGTCACATGATGATTGCGAGGTAATATAATTGGATGTCTAGCTTGCTGACTAATGGGTGCGTTCACTAGTCGTCCTCCGACGTGTAGGACTCCATTTTCTAATTTAGGGTTTAACTTTCGCAGTGGACTGACATAACCTTCAGAATCGGGTTTCTCACTCAGAATCTTTTGCGGTGAAGCAAACTCTCTTGGAAATGAACTTTGTTGGACAATTCTGCAAATGTCAGTGGTAGCAATGGAAAGTTCATGAACTGTTAACGGGCCTATTTTCAATAAGGCAGATCTTCTCAAGTACATCTTAAACCAGATGAGCCATGCAACACTCACTTGTAATTTATACCAAGAGGAGTATTGATGGAGCAAATGACTCCAAACATCTGTACCCATTGTATTGCACTGGGTAATGGTTGCTTGGACCTTTCTTCTCAGCTCTTTGTCATCACGGTCAATTTCTGGTAGGTCAGTAGGTTGGCCTGGCCATTCTGATTCAGTTTGCCATAGAAATGCTGCACCATGGAACCATGTGGTTATTGCTGCCTCATTAGAACCATCCAATTTTATTCCTCGTGATGCATGGTCTGCTGGATTGAACTCTGAACTGACGTGGTACCATTGTGATGGAGATGAAGCATCGTGAATAATCTGGAGGCGGTTAGAGACAAAGGTTTGGAATCGTGTTGCCATGTTGCGAATATATTGGATGACTATTGTTGAATCTGTCCAAAATAGGGTTCTCTGGATTGGGAGTTGAATTTCATCTTGAATTTGTCTGCTGACCTTAACTGCAACTGTAGCTGCTGTTAGTTCAAGCCTCGGTACTGTCATGGCTTTGAGCGGAGCGACCCTGGACTTTCCCATCAGCAAACTGCAATGAATTCTACCATTTGTATCTATCAGCCGCACGTAAGATGCAACCCCATAACCTCCTAAGGAGGCATCAGAGAAATTATGGAGTTCCACTGTT